ATAGTTATATGTCCGAGGAACATATAACTATGTTCCGGTTTGGGGTAAGTGGGACTGTGAGTGAAGCAAGGGATGAGGGTGAGTGGTAAGAAGGTGGAAGCAACAGCAGCAGAGACGGATGGAAGGGAGCAGGTCGCCAAGGAAGAAGTTCTTGGGAGCTCGCCTTCCCATGAGCCACCCCATTTCTAGTTCCGACCCCATGCATCCCTTGCGGCCCTGCCCAAGATTTCCCCGGCAGCCGCAGCCAGTGCTTCTCACTTCCACTCAGCCTCAAGTCACTGACTTTTCCAATTTGACTCTTCTCAGCTGCTCCTTTGTGTGGAGCCGCTGGCTCCTGGGGCTTCGCTGCATTTGGGAAGGCCCTGGGATGTGACCTTCAGCCCTGCTTGACCCTGAGGCCCCGGGCTGCAGAGTCCGATCAGGCTGCTGTCCATGGGCTCCCACAGAGGGCAAAGCCAAGAGGAGGCTGCTGGGGGAGCCCAGGCGCCGGTGGACCCTGCCCTGGAAAGGCGCATCTAGAAGATGGGGGCGGCGGGGGGTTGGGAGGGAGAGGAGAAGGGAAGGATAGAGCAAAACAGGAAGAGCATTCCTGTGCAATGACTGGAATAGCTCTCGGATGTTCCGAAAATATTAGCACTACCAAGGCTAGTGAAGCACAATGTGAGGCTTCTGCCAGGCTCAGAATCAGCTCAGAAATCTGCCAGTGTCACAAAGAACACCTTTCTCTCCCTTGCTTATTAGCAACAAATGGTCTTCAATGCCATTGACAGTGGATTTTGCTGAGTGTCCATGCTGGCGAGGGCTGCCTCAGAGGGTGGAAAGACAGAGGCAGGAGAGGTGTTCAGTAAACTGTCAGCTCTCCTGAAGGGTTAGAGAAATGGGTGCTCTGTTTTACCGACTATTCAAGGTAACCAAAGTTATCATATATTCCCTGTAAGGATTACCAATTTTTAACAAGTGAGTATAATAAAAAATACTACACTGGATCCAATTTTAAAGATATGTCCATCAAGTAGTTATATAATGGGTAAGATATATTATGTACTGTTCTAAACATTTGCAAGTACTAATTTAATCTCTACAGCTACCCTAGAAGTTAGGTGCTATTATTGGACCCACTCCATAGATGGGTAAACTAAGGCACAGAGGGGTTAAGCAACTTACCCAAAGAAGCATAGCTAGTACATGGCAGAAACAGAATTTGGACCCAGGCAGCCTGACATCAGGGTCTCTGCCCTTATCCAGAATGATCAGCTGCTTCTTTGAAGTGGAAAATGTCCTGAGGATACTGGGGCTCAGATAGAAGTGACTTGCACGAGCCCATCCTTGCCTCGCTCTCAAAATCCAGGCTCTTACTATCTATACCTTAGACTAGCAACATGGCTATGAACACTAAGGATCATGCATGGTTCATTCTTCTTTTCAACAAATTCTTATTAAGCACCTATTGTGTGCCAGGTACTGTTCTAAGTTCTGTTTATAATTAATAATAATAATAATAATAATAATAAACAACTGTAGGAAACTGAACAAATTTGGATCAATTCTTTGACATCTCCCAAAAGTTATTTAAAACGTCAAATCTTATCATTACCTCTCCATGTCTCGGATACACCTCAGGAAGATGGAAAAACAACAAAGCAACTGATTACTTGAGTTATCTGGCTCTTGGATTCTAGATAATTGATTGTTTTCTGGAACTGGAGGTGACTTTCAGAAGCATCAAGTGTAGATCAAAACAGAAAGCAGAGGACAGGATAAAGAAGAAAACATGTGAGTCTAACTTGGCCTGAGCTTGAGTTTAATTGAGATTCCAGCTGCCACTCTCCCCTGCATTCCTTTGTCCCTGGCTATGACCAAGTTCATGGCTATATCACCCCCAGTAATCCCTGTAATGGGCTGCAATCCTGGGGGAGCTATTTCTGTTTATTAATGGTCAACCTCTGAATCACATGGAGTGTGGCCAGTTGTGGCTTCTTGCTCTGGCTCACTTTGGTATTTTAAGAAACAGGGATCTTCCAGAAGGGAGAACCAGGATAGTAGGCAGGCGCTGAGGAAGAGAAAGAGACACAGAGGCGATAGGTGCTGGAAGTGAGGGCCCCTTCCAGGTCACGAGCTCTTTGAGAGGAGAATTTCTGTGTGTGCTATCCTTGAGACTGCAACTACAGTTACATAGGGCTTTGGTGTAGTTCCAGGATGGTGCCAGTTACAGGTGCCCATGATGCCACCATTGTGGACAGGTAGAAGGGATGAAGACACCAAAAGGGAACAATAGAGGCAGAAGGTGGGGAATGCATAGGGTGAGGCAAGTAGCAGAGAGTGGGATACTTCCTGAGGGTCAGGAATTCTCAGCGCTTCAGACTCCAGCTCAGGAGCTGAGCCCAGAGCAATTCTCTAGAGCCAACTGCCTCTTCCCTCACTGCCCACGGCCCCAGTGTCTGCTACTTAAAGAGTTGGGGAAACTTTGCAGCAGCTGCTTGTTTAGAGACCCTGTCCCCTCGCTGTGCCCCACCCTCCTCCCCAATCCATCCTCTGGTTAGAGTTGTGTGAAGCGGAAGACAATTTGGGGCTTATTAGTGTCCCAGGGAGACATGTAACTTGTGTTGCTGGGACCCAAACAGCAAGAGTCTTAGCAGCAAACTCCAGCCGAGAAAAGACTGAGGAATTGTCTCACCTAATTACAGGGAATGGCCCTCTTTGTGTTTGTGATTCGGTACGGTTGTCCGATCGCTTTTGATCGCTTTTCTCCATTTGCTGGCTCAGGCCATGCTGGAATTGTGCTAATTAGAAGAGAAACGGACAGAGTGATCCTGTCAGCCCGGGTTACTGGTGGGGACAAAGCAGAATATTATTCTGAGGCAGTGTTTTGTGAGGGCCCTTCTTCCAGCTCTCATTAGGAGGAAGGGGCCCACAGGAGGGGAAGGTTCCGAATGCCTGGCCTGGCTAATGGAGCATAGGGGTGTTCATGTGCTAATTAACAGGCTCTGCCAGCACTTGCGACAACCAGGAGCCTCATGGTTGCACCTGGTGCCACCTAAAACCCCCAAACACCCCTGCTCATGAAGAAACAGTGCTGGGCAAAGGGTGGGAAGGCCAGTGGCTTCTTTAGGCGTAGTCAGGGACACACCCCCAATGTGCCCCAAAACCTAAACAGACAGGAAAAGTCAGTTATGGTCAGAATTTAGAAACTTGCAGAGACCACTGTTTGCCCCCTCTCTGGGGGTAGGGGTTTTAAGGCCCACTGGTAAAATAAAGCCCATGTAAGGGTTAGGTAGTCTTGTAGCTCTCAAAGGATGATGAAAACAGAAACTGGAGAACATAACCAAAGGCTTGGAGATGGAGTTTGTGCAGAAGTTGAGAGCTGGTAAGAAACCATGTTATCTGACTGCTGGGACCATCCACCATGGCCCATCTGCCCATCTCCTTCCTTCCTGCTCTGCCTGTTTACCTTCTTGTGATGCCTTAATCCTGGAGGGAACAGAAAGGACCAGAGCATCCCATCGGAAATGATCCAGGCTTTTACAAAGCTCCTGTGGAAGTCCGAACACTCTTGGGAAGCCACAGCGGCAATGGAATGACTTTTACCAGCTTCGTTTTCATTGCCTAGAAGACAGGAGAGCTACAATAAGCTGTAACTGGAGAACCAAAAACAAGGAGCAGTTAACAAGTGTCCATTAAAGAGTATGATAAGTGGGTAACAAAAAAGTAAAGAAAAATTAATGATGGCATTGTGATATCAATGCAATTGACACCCTGTGAACTTTTAGTGCTCAAACAATGGAAGGAAAGCCAAAAAAGTAGCAGAGGCCTAAAACTGAGAGACTGAAGTGAGCAAGAAGTAATGAGACTGCTGGTGAGAAAAGATCTTGAGTAAGAACTTGAAAATGGGCCTCCCAACACCAGCGCTCTGCTTCTCAGGACAGTGCAGCTCCCAGCCAACAGATGCGTTACATGGATGGTATTCAGAATGGCCAAGGGAAAGGGAAGACAAACCTGTGGGCGAATAATAATTATTTATTGGAAAAGTAGCCTCCAAAGATTTAGAACAGAATATCCACATACTGTCCCTTTTTAGTCAGGCAGCCAGCCAGCCAGCCAGCCATGCTTTGCTTTGCTAGATCACAGAAACCTACTGTCCACCCAGGTGTTTTCTTGGAAATCAGGGATGAGCCCATGATGCTTAGCAATTTGCTTTCCTTAAAATGGAACTTTTTTCCTAAAAAGATGTTGATAGTTTTGTCAATGGGTGACAGTACTGACCTATACTTCCTCTTCTCTAGTTCTTGAACAGAGTTGAAAAGGAACTCAGAAGAGTGTTAGTAGGTGGCAGAGCAATATTTCTTTTCAATCCATTATGTTTAACTGGAAGTCTGCAAGTAGATAGATAGATTTTGAACTCCCAGTTCGAAGAAGACGCTGAAAAAGAACTAGCTGTGTAGGAGATAGCCATAACCTTGAGGAGCTTATAATTTAATAGGGCGATAAGATAAAGACTCGGATCACTTCAGTATAAGGCGGAGTGAGGTAAGGAGGCTATACGTAAAGGTTATAGGAATGTAGGGAGCAGGATTATTTCCAGCTCATCAGGGGTTTATAGAAAGGGTAAGTTCGATATTGTGTAAAAGCGATGCGAGACTCTAGGAACTCAAAAGCATTCGCAAAGGCACTCAAATGTGGAACTGGGGGGTCGATTAGGATTGCATGTAGAGAGTTTAGATGCCAGTATAAGATACCCAGACTTCAGCAGTACACATGGAAAGGTATTAAAGTTTTTAAATGCTATGTTAGGGAATTGAGCAGTAATGAGCTGGATGGCAGAGAGGATCGCCTGGGAGCTGGGAGATCATGTAGTAGGTGACCATAATGCCCACAGCATCCACACCACTGTGATACGGAGGGGAAGACAGTAGATTATTTGTCATTATTCGTCAAGTTGCACTTCCTGATGAGGTCTATGCTTTAAACATGCAACTTAGCACTTTGAGGAAAAAAACGCACTCTCCTGTAAAAGGGACATATTTATTATGACGACATAGAAACCATCACATACAAAGTACAATCCTCTAACACCCTGAAATACATACATGCACACATTGTACATAAATTTATATTATCAATATAAAAACACATTATTAACATTTCTGAGACGACAAATATAAAACCAATAAATATTGCAATTCTAAAACATCTACTTACATTAAGTGCTGGTGAATAAGACGACAGTAAATGCAAGAGGCCAAAGCAGACCAAAAACCAACTACGTCACTTCGGGTTACAGACCTGAGTTGGTTTTGGGGAGGTATCCCAATAGCCTCCATATATTTCTCAATTTCCCCTTTTGAAGTCATCAACTCTCAAAAACAGAGCAAAGGAAGCATTTGATATTATGGCACTATTTTTGTGCGCACACACACTCTTCAACCACATTTAAGATAAAGGAATGTCAATAATAAACTTAACCTTAAAATCAAAGGCCCTATAGCCTAACCTTCTATATAACATCCAAGTAGAATGTTTTCCTTCTTATATTCATCCTTTGTGTTTTATGTTCAATTTCTTCCCTCTTGTCAGTAAGTAAAATTGCATGGGTGGTCAAATGGCACAAATGAGGGAAAAATTCAACATTACTTCTAGCATGGTAAACAAGGCACAAGTGTCAGAAAATGGTTAATGGACCAGTTACTTAATGCAATAGTGCTGCGCCCGAGCACAGACGCTCAGGACCGAAAAACTGACCACAACTTTCCTTGTGTCCAAACACCATCGGCCTACTGCTACATGGATGTTCTTTTCATAAAGTTTAGGAAACCCCGTGTGCCCTCCAAAACATCAGAGTCTGGGGACTAGCTTATAAGACAAAATATGGAGAACAAGTGTAATCAATACTACCCACAGGCTAGATTTTCAGGTTTTAACACAGAGACAGATAATTGGCAAAGAGCTCCATAAAAGTTATATTTATGTCAGGAAATTCTCTTTCTCTTTCATGTGTGTGTTTCTGTCACATGGGTGAAATATCTGATATGTGCTGTGAGAGGGGACAAGGGGGGCCAAACATTGCCACCATTCCATAGCACATTCTTTTAAGGTCAATCAGAGTTTCTAGTTTTTAATCAAATGGGAACTCATGCAATCAATCCTCTTTTCCTATCTTTCAGGCCATACTAACATTCTCACTTAAATCTGTAACAGATTAGCTAGAATTTAAAAGTCCTTTCTGTCACCTTAAATTGGTCTTGAGGTCTAGAAACCAGTGCAACCTGGGCCATTCACTATACAAGCTAATCCCAGGAGAGACTTGACACACAGGGACCCTCTTCCCTGGAGTCAGAACAGATGGTAGGGGCAGGGAGGTATGGAACAGAGGGCACGGGCGTATGAGACTATCATGAGAGGTGTAGAATTTTAAAAGCAGGTAAACATTTCTAGGAGATTCTGGTTTCTCCAGCCAGGGATTCTTGGAACCTAGTATACACTGGAGAGTTCAGAGGTCAAACTGCATGGTGCAGGGTCTGGTCCAGAATCTAATTGGTCTCTGGGTTCCTCACATCATAAATACTTCCTAAGAGATCAAGTACAACTCAAAATAACCCATCCAATCAACATCACAATGAACTATGCCATTATCGAATCAAACCAACTGTTAAGATCCTGAGTCACTTCTGGAAATGAGAAAGCAGGTCTTTGACCTTCAAGAATGATATCCCCTCTGGGGTTACCAACATCCGAGGCAGAGGCAGAGACAGCCAAAGTCTGAAAGCTGATTGAAAACTGCACTGATCCTTGGGTAGAACAGATTCTTCTCTTGCTGCCGAATGTCCTCAGAGGTGCAGAGTGCCAGGAGCAGAGGAGAGGGTCAGTCCTGGAGGTGCACCCTCCAGCCTCTCGCCAGGAAGCAGTGAGGTGCACTGGGAGAGGAGCATGGTTCCAGCACCCAGGACATTCTGTTCACGAGCTGCTGCTGCTACTTCTTGGGCTTCTCTAGAATGTTGAGAAATTTCCCCCGTGTCATCTCTCTGGCTGGAATCATAAAGCAAATGAAAGATCAATGAAGACCTAAGATCTGAAAAAGAGATCATAGGAGGATTTAATTTAAAGATGAAGAAGATTAATTAAATTGTATAGAGTTGTGACCATAACAGATTCAATCACCACTAACCTCCAAAAAGGGGGAAAAACAAACCACTATTGGCAACTAAAACTGTACAAAGCTGTTTTGAGGTTGGTAAATGCAACAAGGTGCACACAGGTCAACTAGGGAAGCCTTTATCATCCACTCTCAAGAAAATCACCAGGGAACCCCCCCTACCCCACCCCCAACTCTCTCTCAAGAACGCAACCTGATACTCACATTCACTGTCTCAGGGGGTTTGCTCTTAGAGGCTAAAAACCAACCAAGATTATAGTTTTTTTCTGGGTTTTTGGTCTCTGGACATTATAATCTCAGGTAAAAAATTAGAGCTCATTTACCCCATTCCTCAGCAGCAGTATTCCCTGGATACTCTAATTTAACAGGGTTTATATTCCCTCAGTGCGGTTCATCTATAGATGGGGTAATAAAGTAGGGTTTATAGAGCTTTGGTCTTCTCTCTCTTGGCATTGTCAGTCCTTAGATATTTAATATAACCAGGCAAGGTTTATGTGTCTTTCTCCGACTTTCAGCACCATCAATCTTTGAATGCTGTAGTTACAAGAGGGTTTACACAGCTACTTTCCTATACATGAGGCTCTGAAATGAAAGTAAAACATTTCTCAATTACAAGAAGCCCCTCGTTTTAGCTTTGTCAAGCAAATCCTCAAAAATCATATGTAGCCTAATATACCCTTCATCTTCACCCCCATAAGATCATCTTTTCAGATCTCTTAAATGGATTGAACAGTGCTGAAAGTTTCCTATGGCTTGCCCTGGAGGCTAGAAGTCTTCTGGACCCATGCAGTGGACCCACAGCAGGCTATGCCCTAAGAACATATCTTCATCTTGGCCAAAGAAGTGAGATGTCTCCTGCAGGGATGAAAAGGACCTTTGCCCTGGCCGCCTTGCTGCCCTTCCCTAGTCCAGAGCAAATGGTGCTAAATGAATGGGCTCCGACTCCACACCGCCCACCACCTAATTCTTACAGTTCCTGGTTTATTTGTACAACAAAGAAATAAAACAATATGAATGCTGCAACCGCAGGAAGGCTTTTGGTAACTGTACTCTAAATACATCCCTCATCTTTTACAAGTTCTGAGCTCTAACAAAGGGAAAGGAAACCCCATTAACTAGAAATGGAAGCCCCAGTGTTGGGTCTTGCTTCATGTGCCCACAACCCCACCCTGGCCCAAATCAAACGGACTATTCCTTGCCTGGTGGATTTATGCCAATCCCTATGCATACAAAGTTCTTATAAGACTTGCAATTACTTGTTTATATATTTGTCTTCCTCTGCTGAAGGGTAAAAACGGAGGGCAGAAACTGTGTTTTATTATTCCTTATATCACCAGCTCTAGCATAGTGCTAGACTTAAGCCTGCTAAATAACTGTTGGCTGTATGAATGATAATACACAAAAGAACTAGAACAAAGTATAATCACAACAAAGTTAGTTTCCTTCCTGTCCACAAACAGTAAGAGTTGTTAGTGGCCCTTGGTGCTCCGTTCTCTATATTATGGGGTTCTTTTTAAATTTACCTTGCTTATTTAGAAAGAAAAAGCATTTTCTTTGATGGAAATGATGCCAGATTAATGGAGAGACTGGGGTGGGGGCAAGGATTAACTGCCCTAGAGGAAATCCAAGCAAGAATTTTCTTGTCCATGGGAGCCAGCATGACATCTTTCAGAGAATACAGGATTTGAACTCAGTCTAAGTTCCAGCTCTATCATATAGCAGCTCAGTGACACCATGAGCTGAGTAAGATCTTTGTGCCTCAGTTTCTTCATCTGTAAAATGCCACCTATCCTGCTGCCCTCTTGGATATTCAGCAAGGAACAAGCTTGATATAGTGGTACCATTAATGAAACACCTTTCAGAGAAGGGTAAGTAGCCTACTGCTTCTCTTGCATTGAGTAGTTCCTGAGTGAATAAACTGTGATAAGGGAGGGAGCAATCTCAAAACTCCCATGCCTTGGAATCTTTTCCCACAGCCTGATCCTGTAGATAATGACTGATACTTCTGGCCAGAGTGGGTCTCGTCACTTATTTCTACTGGATGGGTTTTCTGCCTACTCTCTGTGCTTATTAAGGTCCATAAGCGCAACATCAAATGATCCTGCAACGTGGCTAGAAGCAGGTGCTCCTGGAAACCAGATATGGGTAACACAAAACCCTGCTGGGCAGAACACAGCTTTGTTCCAAAAATCCTGGGCCAGAAGCATTCTACTGATCTTAGTAATTATTTCTGCCTGTTGCCTTTCAGATTCCCTAATTCTTTATTGTTTTTCCCCAAATGGGAGAGTGATCAATATTTTAAGACTTAAATTTTAAAAGAAGCCAATCTATTCAAGGGATCAAAAGGATTTAAAAGGAAAAATAAGTGGCTATCCTGAAGTCTCTCAGTGGCAAGCTCTCCTTGAATTTAACCAATCCTTTTTAACAACCCCATTTCCACTCAATCATTCCTCCCTCTTCAACCTAATCTAGGTACACAGAACTGCAGGAAACCACCATAAAAGTAGAAATAATTCAAAAGACATCATCTTCTACATGGGAGGGGAGAAAGTTTTCCTACTCGCCAGTCCTATATAGGAGATATACGAATTTGTGACATAGCTGCTCCCTAAAAGAGGGCTGTGCCCCATAAATCACATCCTAAGCACCAACCCCTTTTTGTGCACAGGGAAATTGCTGTGGGTCAGGGGCTGTTCCAGGGCACGTGCCCTCCTGTTCGCTTGTCATCAGAGATGTTAACATCTCTGATTAATTCACATACCCCTTATTTTATTCCTCATTTCTTATCCTTGCTCTCCTGCTCTGCTGCAGTGTGAAGATTCTTACCGACCTGCTACAGTAATCACCGCCCGCGAACCGCACCCCCCTAAACCTAGTGAAATTGTTTAGTGATGCCAACCGCGCTTTTAATTTGCAAGACATCAGACACAGAGGTAATTTATACCAACATCTGTTCATTTTTGACTTCTGAAACAAACTCGCACATGCTGCTACAAAATCCCATTAGGAGTAGGGAGACAGCCTTCTGCTACTACTCTGCATTCCTCTTCACACACACACACACACACACACACACACACACACACACACACACACACACCT